TATTGATAAATTTCATTGTAAAAATAGAATTTATAACTATCTTTCTATCTCAAACAGTTTCCATTAGTACCATTACTTATAAGTTATAAATAATATTTTATAGTATAGACTATGGACTTCCGGTTATTTCAAATTTTCTACTACAATATTTAATATTGATTACTCATCTAATAAATCAATTTTAAAGGTCATTACTTATTAATTTATTATCAATAATCATTAGTGTAAACATCTGTTCAAACAATTCATTGACATTATTTGCAATGACAATATTTATAATTATATGCCGGGTCCACGCAGAGACGACAAAAGTAAAACAATTTTGTTTTTTCCAACAAATTGTTCGTGTTTTGAAAAACAAAGTCGTGTCCCGAGCGGTGTCGGTAAACATCAAAAGGTTTTGGTTTTGTTGTTGTTTTTGCGGACACTGTCAAACGTGTGTGGACATGTTTTCAAAACAACCAACAGGCAATATTTTTTATTGGGATTTCGCGGGCAGTACCAATTTGGTTATTTATAAATATATTATTTACTATATAATTAAAAACGTCTTTTAATATTATTATTTATTTTTTTACTTTGTAACTGTAGGTAAATATACCCAGCACCCAACATAAATTAATCTTCATCGTCTTTAATATCTCTTTTCAATTTCCAAGTTTTCACTCACAGTAAAAACATTTAAAAAAATTTGTAAGTACTAAGAGTTTAGAAAGCTAGAACTCTGAAGACAGACTGAMTGACCACGGATGAACGAAATAAAACGACGAGTTTATATTTCTGTATGGATAGTTGAAAACAAAAACAAAACAGGAACAAATGTTTGAATTTTGTTCATGTTTTGTTTAATTTTTACTCAACTCAGTATGGACACATGTTTTGTTTGTGTTTTATTTTTTTCAAACTTCAAAAAGAAGGGTTTGAGTTTGGTTTTTGTTTTGTTTCTGTGTCGTCTCTGTGTGGACCCGGCAATAGAAATAAATTATTTTAATAATAAAAGACATTTAATAAAGTTTTAACAAATATTTTTTTGAATTAGTAATTTATACCTAACTAATGYCCAGTAATTATTTATAATAATGGACACATTTCAGCGCGTTTTGTTCATGATAAGAGAATGAGATGATATAGGGAATAAGCGAGTAAAACACAATGTCTATTTCAATTTTCAAGTGACATCTATACTGTCAGGAGGAATAGGAGAATACTGGATAATACTATAACATAGCTGCCTTTATGTATTATATAATTTAATACATCAAAAAGATTCAATGAACTAACAACATGAAAAAAAAATGAGTAACAAGTTTACAACAGTACCTACTCACTATCCATGTCTTTTATTAAAGGACAACAATTATGACTATTTATAATAGTTACGTGGCACAACGAACAATAGAGGAAACTTAATATATTCATTGGACAGCATTAAACTCTGATTTCTTAACTAACTTTAAATAGCTCAATAACAATACGTTTTGGAACATATATTTTATTACCGGCCATATTTTGTTATTGTTTTAACGTATGTAGTTAAGCATACCGAAAACGATAATTAAGTCAGAATTTGGTGCACGGACTTAGTTTTGAAGTTAAAAACAACGAAAAATACAATTCTGGTGAAACAGAAATATGCCTAAATTTTAAAGAACCATATAAAACGTGTGATATACATATTATATGTCTTCATCTTGAAAAAAATGAAAAAAATTCATAATTTTTATTGAGCTTTTTGTGTTTTGGAGGTATATCAACTGTCACGCGTGTCTTTCAAAAAAAAAAGTTTTAATACAGAAAATATTATAATAATTATAGATTAGGCTCGGTWAGGTAAAGTTAAGTATTTAAGTAATCATAGATTTATATTTATCTATAATTTAAAAATTTTCTTACTCATTTAAAAAAAAATACTCTACAGTTTTTACCTTATAGTATTGCTCAATATTGTCATTGTATATTGCGCAATACTGCTATTATAGTTTAGTTGTTCAATGTTTTGATGGTTTGTAAAGACAAATTTCTAATTTTGTAAATATTTATACTTTATATGCACCATACGGAGATTATAAGAACAAGAATTACCCCAAAAAAATACTAAATAACAATAACTTAGAAAACATATTTTGTCAGACGCCAATAAATTGAATATTGAAAAAGCAGCATGACGGAAGCCCTATGAATTTCAATAATTACACATATATGATAGGTACATAACAAACACCTATTACAATAAATTATATATCATGTATAGGTACGTCATAATTTATTGTGAAAATCAAAAACGACGAGAGAACAAACATTGATTTGTAAAAGGTCACTCAGTCACCATCAAATAAAACATAAAAAATATAATAATGGCACTGCCATCGGGCCAACTCACCATTAATAGTGATCCATGTATAAATTGATAATTTACGGTTTAGCGTGATGCACATACTACACACATATAAACAGTCAGTTGTTAACCAATAAGTTATATACATATGTAAATAAAAAAATGTAGATATATATTAGGTACCTATATAAAAATATTTTAAAATATTTGACGTAACCGGTTTCGACTAATAGGTTGTTGATTTAACAAGTGAAATAGTCTAACATTGTTCTTGACTATCATTAAATGATACGACTTCAGTATGATTTTTAATTTTGCTAAACAACAGTAGGTATACGTAAATCACAAAAAATGTATACAAATGTACAATAGTAGCTACTTATAACTTATAATAGAATAATATATGACAATATATAATTATGTACTAAATGAATATACATATTATATAAATTAGYTTTTAGATTATATCTTGCATTAAAAGAAAAATAAAGAAAAGTGTGCAAAAATATTAGTTGAAGTATAYAAGCAATCATAGGCGTGTCCACGGGTCATGCCTGTCATGCACAGGCATGACCTGCAAATTTGGTCAAATTTACATAGTACATTTTGATGCATAATATGAACTTTTTTTTCTCAATTTCTATTTTCATATTATATTTTTTGTTTTTTATCATGTATATAATTCAAATCCCCAAACCCTAACAGAAATTTTTATTTTTATTTTTTTTTGGGGGTGGGGAGGATTGGCAGTTTYCCCATCCCCTGGATATGCCACTGTTGTGCATGACCTGCGAATGAGGTCTGGACACGCCTATGCAAGCAATTTATTTATTGACGAGTGAAGATTTTATGGTATATTTATTATACAATTTCTAACCTTCAACGGCTCGACCCTTTCATTTGTTTAAAAAAATATAATGTAAAAAGCCACTTATTGTATATTATAAATAGGTACTCACATAGTGTAGCATATCTATGGAAAAGTATTTAAATAGCCAAGTGTATCGAATTATCAAACTCCTAAGATGATTCGAAAAAATAACGCATTATTGGCTTACACTGACAAAAATCGTTTATCATTGTATCTAGTCAATCAATTAACCGGTCGATCTGAATCATGATATACGTATTATATTATTACACATAACTATAGTCTATAAGTATATACGTAAGGAATGTTATTCACTGTATTTGTCATAGTAGCCAGTAGGGGTATTTGCAAGCAATATAGTAATGTATAGATCAACAAATCCATTTGGAAATATAAAACTAAAAAAAAAACCTATAAAGTCACTCTACTTTATAGTAATTATTCAGTGTTAGATATATCGAAAATTCAGAGGTTTTATTTAAGTTTTTATTGGAGACAAAATTGTTGACCCCCATCCCAAACAAGAGAACCAATAAACAACGCTTCACTTCCTAGTCCTGTTAATTTCCATTAATTTMCATCTTACCTAAGTTCCTAACATGACTGAGGCAAAAATAGCATCATTTTATGGCAAAACAATGTGGAGGAGTTAAATAATTGAAGATACCTAMTTCTGCAGTGGCGTCATCTTTGGAACCACCAAAAAAGAAAGAAGATGTATCTAGAAACTAAAATTCTCAGTCTTTTGGCCATACACAAAACTATTGTTACAATAAACCCGCGTGTGAAAATGCGGTGAAGAACAGAAAACAAAAGGCTTCCATAAGTCAAAAATAAATCAAAACCTAAATGTGCTAATTACGGTGAAGCTCATACCGCAAACTGGAAGGGTTGCTCTGCTTACAAATAAGCAGAAGTAAAAGCACACCCTAAAAAGGTTTCTGCAGTACAACACATTCAACAAAAATCAGAAAAAACTGTCACAGCGGCCATATATTACACTTCAAGTAACTAGCTCTCCCAACTTAAACTTAACACCCCAAAGTCCAAACAACACCAATCCAACGACAACGAACCCACGTTAATAGATATCTTATATGCTTTGACTAATTTAACAAAATCGCTAGAATACATCACATCTAGACTAGATAGATTAGAAAGTAATCAATTTAAGTATAACAAAAAATCAAAAGAAAAAGTAATGAATCGCACGCTGCGAATKTTGCCGTCTAGGCCCGGGCCTTTAGAGCCTGTGCCTAAATACGCTTCTGCGCATACTAATTCAAACCAGGAAAACGGACCGGCTCCAAAAGTGACGTTGTACTTACCTTCTTTCAGTTACTTATCCACGCCATGCAAGTCTCGTTGATGAAATGTCTTTTAAAAAGTATTCTAATACAAACACAGTCAGACGAAACATATTATTTTTAAAAATTAAAAGTATATCAAGCATTAAAAATTCAKACTYAAAGTACTTCACGTCTTTTTTCAGTTTACTACCAAGTGCAATATTATTATTATATTATTAAGATATAATGGAAATACTACCGTTAACTACTACACTCTATGGGAAAAACGAACCGATACACTAATAACAGTTGCGAAATCTAGATGGCATTGTAAATATTTTGTAACGTGATTCTATCTGTGATTGGAYGAGAACGTCAGTAAGTGATAAGCTATCACTGATAACAATGTTTACTGTGGATAGATGAAATAAGTTGAGACTTGTGAAGTTGTGTCGTTGTAGCTTGTAGAGCCAGCGCTCGCTGCCCAGCACAGTACCGCAGCAGCACAAGTGGCATCTCCACCACCTTCTCATCGTAAAACTACGAACCAGCTGCCCTCCCTCCTCCCCCCTCCCTTGCGGTTAACGCCGTACGGCGTACACTGAGTTATTATTATTATAACCATTATGGGTAGCCTACCAGACGGCCTGTCTACCTGCGATAAATTTTCCGTTTTCCGTAGTTCCGCTCTTGAAAAGTGAAAACCGGAACTGTTTACGGTGACGGTAACGTAAATCGCTTTGTTTTTACYCGGCCGATTGGGTTACGACTACGTTAGTTTCGTTTCTAAAAATGTAAATAATTTTTCGAAAAATATCTAATTTGCTTGATACACGGGTAGTTGGTTATCCATTTCGTTTTCTCTAAGTGCCGTCACTAGAATTAACATCCATACCTGTAGGTACACTAATCACGCGTTAAGCCACTTGAAAGTAAGTATCTGATGACTCATGTATATTGTGTGTGTGTGTTTGTTTACTTTTTACAAATCATATTAATTATTTTTCATTTAGAACCAACCTTAARTCTACATGACTGCTTTCATTTTTCAAAACAATGTTACCCGYTTTTGGTTTGATTATTTAAAGTCTCGTAGTGACTTCTATCTACTTTTTCACCGTTATAATTTATCTTGTACCTATATCCAATAATTTAAAATCAAAATCAAACAACTACATTATATTCCATTCAAATCTCACTATATATCATTGATTAGGTACACTTATTGTTGGAAACAATCACTATGATTAGAAATGGACCAATTAACAATTAAATATAATTATTAATTACAGCATTTCATCAAACACAAAGTTTTTAAATTTTTTTTAGAAACAAACGGTTTCATTAAATCATTCAACACTATGTTGTTTAAATTAAGTTACATATTTTACTTATATAAATACATAGCCACATAGGTAATACATATATCTTGTAGAAAGGTTATAGAAATTTATAGAACWAACTGAGAAATTTTCCCTTTTTTTTAAATCAAGAAATAAACACCCTATTGGTAGATATAATGAGTAATAATAAGTGCATGATATGAATTATAAAGTAAAAATTAGACATTTGGCATTCTTAAATAAACAAGAAAAAGAATAAAAAATCAAGTAGATAAAATATATAAGTAAATATAATTAATTAGTTTAAACTAGTAGTATTACTATTAATTTAATTATGCTATACTTACATTTCTATTAATTATTCTAATATCTTCCATCATAGGTTTCAAGTTCCAATAAGTTCCATTAAGAATTCCAAACCATTCATATTTTTTTGAAGTTAATTGCTATTGATTTGTTTTGTTCCTAATAAGAAGTTGTAATACAGTTATTGGTTTTGCCATAAAGTACATAAACACTTAGTGTTTACACTAGTGTGTATCATTTAAATTAAAAAATGTACCAAAGAATTATCAAATGTATGTTTTATTATTATACATGCTCTATGTATATTATATTATTAGCTGTCATTATTTTAAAATATTTAATTAAGTGTAAATAAATATTTTTATTTTCAGCTAGTATTTCTTTAAAAGAAATATGCTTGCCTGTGCAGAAATATCAAAAATGGATACGTGCAGCATTCAACAAATTAAGCTGGGATCGGATATTATTGTTGATGGTTTATTTTTCAATGAAACAAATATTAAATTAAATAGTTCTAACAATCAAGTAATTCTATCAGATTCATATAGTGATCAAAAATATATCCCAACAGACATTCATAATGAATTGGAAAAAGATAATTATGATGTTTATAGTAATAAATCAAAAAGACTTAAACATAAATGTAAAAAAATTCAACAAATGTCCTTAGATAAACTAAACCTTGATACTCACCTCGAAATTCGACTGCCTATAAAACAATCTTATACATGTACTATTTGTCAAAAATTATTTCACTATAAATACCGATATGATGCTCATATACAAAGTCACAATGTTGATAAACAAAAATATAAGTGTAAAATTTGTGATAAATCTTTCACACGTAAATACCATATTAGTATCCACAATAGAACACATACGGGTGAAAAACCTTATAAATGCGACTTATGTGAGAAATTGTTCTCAATGAAACATCATCTCCTCTCTCACATTCGAACTCATACTGGTGAAAAGCCTTACACATGTGATATGTGTAATGAATCATTTACCCGCAAAGATATACTGAGCAAGCATGTTAGAACTCACATAGGCGAACAACTTTTTACGTGTGTAAGATGTCATAAACAATTTTCTATGAAAACATACACAGGAGAGAAACAATACTTCTGTCATTTGTGTCAACAGATTGAGCCTCAATCAAATATTGTGAACAACATAAATGCTAAACTTAATCATGACTTTGGCTTAGAAATGTATGACAATAATAAATGTATTGAAACAACAGACCTCATTGACATAAAATATGAAAACAATATAGAAAGTATTGACAATGAGTCAACGATTCTAATATCAGCATCAAACATGTTATCATATCAACCCTATAATGAAATGTTAAATWATACCAAAGAATTTCAATCTGATGTAAAATGTCTTGAAACATTCTGTAGTGTTGAGTTTAAAGAAAAGCCGTATAAATGTCACATGTGTCAGCAATTATTTTCTAATAAACAAAATCTCGATTCTCACATTAGGAGTCATACTACAAAACAACCTTATACTTGTACAATTTGTAAGAAATCATTTTTCTATAAGTATCGCTTTGATGCCCATATAACAAATCACAAAATGGACAAGTATAAATGTAAAATTTGTGAGAAATCTTTTACCCGTAAATACCATTTTGATACTCATTATAGAATACATACTGGTGAAAAACCTTTTAAATGTGAAATATGTTTGAAATTATTTTCACTAAAACACCACCTAATATCACACATTAGGACTCACACGGGTGAGAAACCGTTTAATTGTGAGCTTTGCAATGAATCATTTYGCCGTAAAGATATACTTAGTAATCATATAAGAATTCACACTGGAGAAAAACAGTTTGTTTGTGATTATTGTGAAAAACAATTCTCTATGAAACAATATTTAATAAGACATATGAGAACACACACAGGAGAAAAACCATTCATTTGCCATGTATGTCAAAAAAGATTTTCACAACGATCTGGACTTGATTGTCATATTAGAATCCACACTGGGGAGAAGCCATTTCAATGTGAGGTGTGTAAGAAATTATTTTCTAGAAGAGACAATTTAACAATCCATATGACGACACATATTAGCACAGAAGTTGATCAATAATGACAATTAAAAGAAAACATGTTGATGTACTTAACAAATATGTATTGCCATTTCAGAATTACATAACTATTAATTATAATTCACCATTTCTAGTCCTAACTATCTCAACCAGCAAACATCAAAACTTATTGTATATACAAAGGGGAATCCTTTTTATACATATTTACACTTATACTTATGTTTTCTTCTAATTTATTATTTTATTTTATTGTTATGTAATTATAATTCAAATTTTATTCTTAATTATATTAAACTTTATTATTTAGAAGTAAACTAACAATTCACAAATTTTGTATTAAAATAAATTTCAAGATCAAACTAAGTTTTAGAGGTCCAAGTTCCATTAGTTGTATTATATTATATTATCTATGTGCATTGTTCTTTTTACAATAATTACTACTTAACATATACCTATTTATTTACAATGCATATTTTGATGTTAGTCAATAACATCAAATACAATATTATTACAAAATTTACTTGTGGTATTGTACGGATTTACTATTTTGTAATACACAAAACATGATTTATCGTCAATTATGTTGTAATATATAAATTATTATTATGTCAAAAGTAATTACCAATGAAGTTTTTCATAACAAATCTTTATAATCAAACACAAATGAATTCATAATAATTATAAATTAAAATAATAATACACATATTATTTTATTYTTGAATATTTTGCTCCAATCTAAAGATCGATAAGAACAAACTTCCAAGACTCAAGCAGCTTGAATTTTACAGAAACGATTCATATTGTTTCTGATGTAACAAATACACTGAGTTATAGTGTTTCGTTCACTGCGCATTAAATCTCCCATCAACTAAAATCAATTAAATGTTTTTATAATTCTTATTACATGTGAGATAGACTTAAAATCTACTTACGGCTTCCAACAGAGCACCCTTCCTTTCAACCACTTCAGTTCGTGGTGTCCTCATTGGTGGGATTTTTTTGAATGGTTTAGATTCTTTTTTAGAAGTGTTCTTACGCTTTTGGCCACGATCATTGGCATTTTTCACACAATTATCGTTTTTTTTAGAACATATAWCAATGTTCACATCTGTACTTACTGTTTCACTGTCATTATCAATTAATGTAGTGGAATCTAATTCTTTGTTATTTATTACTGAAGTAGAACTTGATTGTTTATTTTTATCTGTTATTAAAACTTCTGTTAGTGGAGTAGTACATGGTTTCTCATTTTGTTCTGACACGTTTTTATTATCCGGTAACCCTGATTTTTTAACTATAGGCATTTCTACTGGTGGTTCGTTGTCGCTTTGACTATCGCTAGATTGATCATATTCCTCTAATAGTTTTAATACAACTGGCTTATTAGTTTCTTCTAATTGATCGTCTTTAATGATATCTACAAGAAATTAAAAAAAACAATTGAAATTATGATATTTAATGCTGATAAATTCCTCCATAAGTAAAATTAATGACATATTTTAATAATTTAATGTAAAAACCATGCTTGAAACTAATTAAAATTATTGCAATATAGCTATTCAAAATTTATTTTAAGAAAAAATTAAATAAAATTTTTGAAAATTATTCTGATGTGATTAATCATTAAAATTTAGTTATGTTCAGTATTATGAATCAAAAACTTTGAAATTGTTTAGTTTTATTATTATACCGCTACATTATTTAATATTTATGTTTAAAAATATATATAAAATACAGATTTGTATGATTTAAAACATACTTAAAAGTGTGCAATAAGGTGACCAAYATGTAACTATAATATTAAATTTGAATAATAATATMATTGTATAATGTATACGATGATAGGTATGGTCCTGAGCGAAGACTGCCTGTCAGCCTATATTACAACATATATTGTACAATATATTAATATTTGAATTAACGTAGTAAATATTTTTGATGGTAATACAAAATGTTGAATTAATATTTATTAATATATTAAATTTAATAAAAATGCTGGTCACAGTATGAAGTATTTATGAGGAACCTTCTATTAAATTTTTAACGCTCATCTATTATTCTTTTTCCAAAACCCAATAAACCCTTAGATCTGGCAACGTCTTATAGACCTATAAGCCTACTACTGTTTTTTGCAAAAATTCTTGAGAAATTAATTCTCAAACGAATTTTACCTAGCATCAGTGAAAATAAAATTCTTCCAGATCATCAATTCGGTTTCCACCAATCACATTCTACAATCCATCAAGCTCACAGGATAGTTGATGCAATTTCTTTCTCCCTTGAAAAAAAATTATATTGCACCTGTGTCTTTCTGGATATTTCACAAGCGTTCGACAAAGTATGGCATCATGGCCTACTATTTAAACTCAAAAAATTCTTACACCCTTCCTACTACCTTCTCATCAAATCATACTTAACCAACCGCAACTTCCGAGTATCATATGGCTCCTCTGTCTCAAGCATAGCCCCTATAAATGCAGGTGTTCCTCAAGGTGGCATACTTTCCCCGATACTATATAACATTTACGCATCAGATCAACCTACTACACCTTACACACTAATTGCAGAATATGCAGACGATAAAGCAATAATTTCCATCAATGCAGATTCTCTGATAGCTTCTAGAAATCTACAAAA